TAGTAGTAGTAGCAGTAGTAGTAGTAGTAGTAGTAGTAGTAGCAGTAGCAGTAGTAGTAGTAGTAGTAGTAGTAGTAGCAGTAGTAGTAGTAGTAGTAGTAGTAGTAGTAGCAGTAGCAGTAGCAGTAGCAGTAGTAGTAGTAGTAGTAGTAGCAGTAGCAGTAGCAGTAGTAGTAGTAGTAGTAGAGTAGTAGTAGTAGTAGTAGTAAGTAGTAGTAGTAGTAGTAGTAGTAGTAGCAGTAGTAGTAGTAGTAGTAGTAGTAGTAGTAGTAGTAGTAGTAGCAGTAGCAGTAGTAGTAGTAGTAGTAGTAGTAGTAGTAGTAGAAGTAGTAGTAGCAGTAGCAGTAGCAGCAGTAGTAGTAGTAGTAGCAGTAGCAGTAGCAGTAGCAGTAGTAGTAGTAGCAGTAGCAGTAGCAGTAGTAGTAGTAGTAGTAGTAGTAGTAGTAGCAGTAGTAGTAGTAGTAGTAATAGTAGTAGTAGTAGTAGTAGTAGTAGTATAGTAGCAGTAGCAGTAGTAGTAGTAGTAGTAGTAGTAGAAGTAGTAGTAGCAGTAGCAGTAGTAGTAGTAGTAGTAGTAGTTTCCTCTGCGTATAGTTTGTAATATTGGTGTATCCATGGCGCACAGACTCACTTCCAGCACACACTGAAGTACTACATCTACATAAATAAACATGTATAAAACAAATAACTTAAACACTACACTATAGTCTAATATTGTATTAATGATATTTCATAGTACTTTCGGATAAATATAAGAAACACTAACAAAACACAGTAATCCTTTACAGTTAGACTCTGTCTTGTCTGTGTGAACTGTTCTGTGCCATGACACATGACCGTGGACTACACCAGGACCTCAATACCCTAATAATTTATCTCCACTAAATCAGTTCAAATTCATTTGTGTAACATTTTTTTTAAACAAGTTCGGAAGTGTTGCTCATAATATCAACATAAAACTAACATTTACATCTATTTATAGACTTGAATGTAGTAAATATTTTAAAAGTGTTTGAAATGGACAGTGTCAAGTTTTGCAGATTCCCCATGTGACTCTTTGTAGTAGTAGTAGCAGTAGCAGTAGTAGTAGTAGCAGTAGCAGTAGTAGTAGTAGTAGTAGTAGTAGCAGTAGTAGTAGTAGTAGCAGTAGTAGTAGTAGTAGCAGTAGTAGTAGTAGTAGTAGTAGTAGTAGTAGTAGTAGCAGTAGCAGTAGTAGTAGTCGTATTTCCTGTGCGTAAAGCCCGTAATATTGGCGTATCCATGACGCACAGACTCACTTCTAGTACACACTCAAGTACTACACAAACAACATTAGGAACTATAGGAAAAATATAAGAAATACTAACAAAACACAGTTATCCTTTAGACTTGTACTCTATCTTGGTTATGTGAACTGTTCCGTGCCGTGCCATGACACTGCCATGACCGTGGACTACACCAGGACCTCGAGAACCTTTCTTTGCATTCAGAGAAAACTACAATTTTACGCATTTTATAAACAAGATAGTTTAGAAGTGCGGCTCATAACATCAATATAAAACTAGGATTTACAGCTCTAAACCTTTAATGTAGTAGTATTTTAAAATCCTTAATATTTTAAAAAGTAGCAGTGAAAACCAGTGTCAAGTTTTTGCAGATTCCACATGTGACTCTTTGTTCCCCCTCTGGGCTAAACAGCACTTCCTCGGAGTTTGGTTTAAATATTGGACAAACTGCGTGGTGTAGTAGTAGTAGTAGTAGTAGTGTAGTAGTAGCAATAGTAGTAGCAGTAGCAGTAGTAGTATTTCCTGTAATATTGGCGGATCCAGGGCGCACAGACTCGCTTCTCGTCGGTTCGGTCGGAGTCTCGGCGGCGGCGGCACCGTGCGTCTTCTTCTGCGTGGAGGAAAACGCGCGCTGCTCCGGGGCCATGTCTGTCTCCATTAATGATTCACGAGCTCAAATAAAGGGGATTTAAGTTGGGTCACGTGAGCAGCGCGGGGGGAAGACGCGGTTACGTGCGCGCTGTGTGTTATGGCTCTCGGAAGGAGCAAACCGGAGAGCCCCCGGTCTGGGCCGCAGGATACTGATTAGACGCAGCCGTATTCCCCAGTATCCGGGAGGGGGGTCCGGGGCTGCGGCTGATGTGCGACCACGGGAGAAAAGACGCACTCACGCGGCTCCTCGTGCTCGTCTTTGTGGATGTACCGCGCGGCACGGCTATACCGCTGCTGCTGCTGCTGCCGCCGCCGCTGCTCGAGCTGTCACGGACGGATATGTTTTTCCACGCGGGCAGCGCCAGAGCTTTGGGAGGATGGATTTTATTTTGAGGTATTTCCGTCGATTGTTCATTACTGCCGTGAGTTATGGCCGCGGGAGACAGAGGTCAGGGGGAGACGGGACCCGGAGAGGCTGGGGAATGGACAGGTAGCGAAAAGGAGCCGCCAGATTTACAATGATATGTCACTTTTATTGTTGATATAACGGAAAAGAATCATAAAAGTGACAAGAAGTGGCGAAAAGTGCAAATAAAGAAAGTGGAGAACAGCCCTCGTGCTCTGAAGGCAGGAGAGTGGAGTAACCTACTTGGGAATAATTATAATACAAATGTGTAGCCGTGCGTAATTCTGAACAACCGCTATGGTTCTTTGATAAATACTTTTACACACATTTTCATAAACAAAAAAACAAAAGAATCAAAAATTTTAGGCCTATTTTAAGAACCAAAACATCCCATATCTCTTATAATGGACACAGTGTTTGGAATTTTCCTTTATGAGACAGAAATACACACTGTAGCCTATAGTCTTTGTGGCTAAGGAGTTTTTGTTTTTGTTGTTATTTTATTTTTATTTTTGTCTCACACGTGTTACAAAGAAACTATTGTGCAATGCGTAAATATCCATGTGAATGCTTTAAATGGGCAAAATATAATCTGAAATGTTTAAAATGGTTTGGGAGGAATGGCTGTTGTTACGCACAGGCCTGGTCTAGTGTTAGTACATAAAGCAGCCATAGACCAAAGCCTGGACAGAGAATATTTCCTTTTTAAGATCAAAACAAAAAACGTGATGTGTTAAAATGTTAAAATATAAGACAATAAAACACAAAGGAAGTCAAATTTGTGAGATAAAATCTATAAATAGACACAGTCAAATAGCCTAGATGTAGTTTGTCTTTTGTGAGTGAAGAGGAATGAGCACATGGTCCACACTGACACCCAAATTACGCCGCGTTTATTCTCCAAACTCCGGGTCTGTGAAATGATCCATCAGTCCGGGGCTCGCATCAGGAGCAGGCGAGCAGAGGCTCTGGTCCCGCTCCGCCTCGCCTCTTTCCTCTCAGGGAAACGAGCACATAATGGAAGACGGAGTGGCTCTGCGGCCGGCGCTGAGGTCACGGGCTGCGCGTGATTTATGGGCGCGGGGACTCGGGGAGGACTCGGGGAAGACTCGGGGAGAGGCGAGGAGAGAAGCTGCTGCGGGATAATGACGGTCCAGAGCCGCGCGCACATGACGCTGGGGAAGCACGGGTTTTATTTGCACAAAACGTTTGCTCCAGCCTTATCTTTATTTTAGCACAATATGCAAATATTTATCCAAGCGCTGTAATCTGTCCTCTATGGCTATTAATAATCACAGCTCCGTGTTTACACTCTGCTCAAGCTACTGTGGCCTTTTACGCAATTTATTACAAGCAAATTCTTAATATATTTAGAAACTTCAAAAGAAAAATCGAATTGTTACCTTAAAATATGACTTTAAAAACACAATTTCAACACAAAAAGATAACTCACAAATTCGAGGAGTTTGTAAATAAAAGTGCCAGTTTTTTTCAGTTTTATTTGCCTTTTATTGCGCATAAATTACAAAGAATTACGCACGAGGTTTTACAAGAATCCCAAAGCACAGCCATCCACTACTCACTTTTACGAGCTTTCATTTTGGAACCATCTCCAAATCCATATCTCTTTGTGAAGATTAAAACTAGTATTAGATGAGGAAATATTAGAAATGAAAAGGGTAAAAGTGTATGCTCAATGTTCCATGTTGCAGAGCTCCAGCCGTGTGAGCGCAGGCCTCCCCCGCAGCCCTCGATCTGCCCTCGGTAAGTCCATATCTGTATTGATTTGTGTTATGAATGCTTGATGGTGATATCCTTATTCAATTTCTAATAAGTAGCCCCACACACACGAGCGCTCTGGTCTCCGAGTCCCGTGCGTAATAGCGGCACAGACAGCCGTAATTCCTCCTTCGTCCCTGTCATTTGTCATTATAAACGTGGCTCTTGGAACGCCGCCTCGCCTCTCTCCAGCAGCCCCTCTCGGTGTGCGCCATATGCCCGCGTTTACACTTCAACTCTCGGGCTACTCTTTCACCATTTCATCCTTTTATTATTAACTTTCGCCGTGGGCCACTGACAAACATTCCCCGCGTAAAAAAAAGAAAGACGAAATTCAGCGTTTTGAACAAAGGAGTCAATAATTAGACAAAGTGGGTGAATAGAAAAAAGCAGAGTTGGCTAAAAAATAATCCTCACGCGTGGATTTTTGGGTCCCACTCACACACCCACGCGCGCTGTATGTCCCACTTTGGAAAATATGTGCCAAAATCAGCAGTGTTTTGCGCACACTGGGAGGATATGTTTCCAGGCGGGTTGCTGCTCTCAGGAGCCATTTGGCAGATCCACACGTCCCTCTGTCTTCTGCGGGACTCCTCTGCTTTGTAGAAAGAGCACCGAGGATTCAAACATAGAATAAGATCAAAATATTGACTGCACAGCGCAATGTTTAGCAGCTGTTTTCTTGTTCTTTTAGCGTGCCACAATGAAACAAACGACAAAGAGAGGCCGCTGCAAATAGTTAATGATTAAGCGGTGATGAGGAGCTCCTTTATGTGGCGTGGGCTGGTGCAGTGGTCAGCGTTTCTCTTCCTCCTCTCATGCAGATTATAGCAGATTTTAAAGGTAAAACGTGTATTTGTGGTGGAGAATTGTGTACTATTTGTGGACAGACAGCGTGTCCCGTTTTGCTTTAGGGGGGAGGAGGTGGAGGTGGGAGAGGGGAGAGGCAGCTCTTGATTTGAACTGGCTTTTCCAAGGCGCTAGTTCATTTGCATAATTTTTCTTGTCTATGGTGACGCTGTGGTTCGGGGCAGTTCACTGGCGTGTGTGCACGGTACTGGTGCGTGAGGGGACCACATAGAGCAGCGTATAGAGCAGAGTATACGCGTATAGACTATAGGCTGCCTCTCAGAGCTGTGGAAGAGCCCCGGCTGTCTGTCTGTGGCACGGGGGGCAGATAAGGCTTATCACGCTGACCCCACTGCTCACGCCTGCTTTCGTAACCTACCCATCCACGTCGAGTCGGGAAAAGCGCACGGGGCTCCACTCTGCTCGTGTTGTTGTGGCTGCGCAGAGCGCGGTGCATGGCTGGGCTCGGCTGTCTCCGACTGGCCCGCTGCCTTCACTTTTCTCTGGATTACTGCTTTGATCGATTTCCTCGCTGAATGAGAGAATATTGCCGGTCGCTGCTGCGCACTGCTCGTCAGAGGATAAGGTAAGCAGGCCAGAAATAGGCTTCCCTCGCTTTGTAAATGGCCGAGTTTGTGTGTCGCGCGGGTGATTTATCACCGTACGACTTAGATCTCGGTTCAGGAAGAGTTCACTCACATCCACACGGGCGGGAGCGGTGGATCCGTGCGGCGCGGAGCATATCTCCCACACTCTGAGACCGAGGCGGTGGCTGCGGCTCGGCTCTGCGCTGGAGATATGACTCTGAACACATTTGGAGCGGGAGTTTGTCCCGTAGTGTAACAGTGTGGACACGTTCTTTCAGCGTGTGGTTAGTTTAGGCGCAGGGAAAGGGCGCACGGGGCTCGCGCTGAGTTATGAGCTACACAAACCACGGTCCCATTTAATTACTAATACAGCTGCTTCATTTATTTATGAGCCTTTGATGAATAGTTATGGCTGCTTACACCTCAGGGCAACTGGCTGCACGTTTTCAACAACTTTTCATGTTCCCAACGCGCAGTGTCACGTTGTATTTTTTACATTTCTTTTTATATTTTTTGTATCATTATTATTAAATTTTTTTTAGGTTACAACATGTTCTTATTTTCCTCTTATTTAAAACATTTTCTTTTTTCTTTTTTTCTTTTTTTTAAGAAAATCATTTTAGATTTTTTTTAAAAACTGAAAATAAAATAATACACAGACTTCTGAGCTCTGACACATTGACCCCTTTGTTGCGGTACATTTGTCTTTGTCTCCTGCTCTGAGATTGTGCTTTTCGAGCAAAAGGCCCAAGGATCATTTGAGCTGCAGCCAGGGCTCTTTTGTTGCTCTGAATGCCAATTAAAGAAGAGCCTCTTTTACTTTTCTTTTAAATCTTTTACATTCTTTTTACATTATTATTATTATTATTATTATTATTATTATTATTATTATTATTATTATTATTATTATTTTCTTGTTTTTGTCGTGCGTAAAACTAAACTGTGCACGTTCCAAGCCGCGCGTATCCAAATGAAAGATGCTTGCAGAGCTTCATATCTCTCTTCCCCACGTGTTTGATATTGTTTATGATTTCCATAACGATGCAGAGCGCAGATAGGCCTGCTCCCCGCGGTTACCTGCGGGGCTGATCCCGCTCCTCGCTGCGCCTCCCCGTCCTCCTCCGCGCGTCCCCGGTCTCCGTTTACCCGCGCGGGCCCCCCATACATCACCCATCCGCGCATACATCACCCCGCGACGCGACGGACAGCGGCAGCAGCCATTATTATGGGCCTGCATGCGCGAGGAGAGTTCACAGTGTGGTCACGGAGGCGCGCGCCCGGTTTTTCTGGTTCCCTTCATTTATCTTGGCGCGAGAGAATGCGGCTGTTTACGCTTTTCACCAGGTGGCCCCTCGCGCGCTCCTCTATCCGGTTACACAAAGTACGCACTCCCCTTTCATATTTTAAGGCAAAATTAGCGCTAATGTCTCCACCTGCTGCAGAAATATGAGCGGCCCGTGTGGAGAAAAACGCCGCGGAGGGAGGACGTGGTCAGCCGCTAATAAGCCCCAACCTCCAGCGCGCGCAATATTGTTAACGAGCAGCGAGCTTGGAAATGTCACGCGTTTCTTGTTAAATAAAACTGCTTTTGTGGTGACTGTGTGGCGCAGATGGCGACGCAAGGTTGCTGCGTGCCTCCGTGGCCCGTGGAAGCCAGAAGGTAAACGGTAATAGTGTGCCCGCGCGCTGGCCCTATCTCGGCTCCATGGTCCGCCGTGTCAGGCCGCATTCACAAGTAAGATGGATCGCTACCATTTCTTCTCCTCACCGTGCTTCTTGTAACCCTAGGTTCACCCGAGGAGGCCATTGGCGGAGAGGCGTCACGTGACCACGGGGTGCCAATGTTATTCTACAAGGGTGTCAAGACCCTGTCAGTTTCGGAAATAAATATTGGGAAACGGCGAGATGCAAAAGGCAACCTACTACGACAGCTCCGCAATTTACAGTGGCTACCCATATCAAAGCGCAAATGGCTACGGTTATGACGCCAATCAGGGCCAATATCCCCGGGCCTCTCATGTGGAAAGTGAGTACCATCGACCCGCGTGCTCCCTGCAGTCTCCCGACGGCTCCGTGGCGCTGCACAAGCCGGGAGACATGGCGGAGGGCTGCGACAGGAGCGCGGTCATCCAGGCGGCGCAGGCCAAGGTCCATCCCGAAAGCAATCAAGCGCAGGGCCCCGTGTCAGCCGCTCCCCCGCCGCCGCCTCCTCTCCCTCTCCCTCCCCAGCAGCAGCAGCCCGCCACCACCGCCGCCGCCGCCGCCCCCTCGCTCTCTCCCGGCGACGTCAGCCAAAGCACAAGCAACGGGCCCAGCTCCGGAGCCGCTCAGGGCAGTGCCAAAGCCGGGTCGCCCTCCTCCTCCTCCTCTTCCTCCTCCTCCCGCAAACACATCTTCCCCTGGATGAAGGAGTCGCGGCAGAACACCAAGCAGAAGATCACCACGAGCTCCAGCGCAGGTACGACGTAAAACACCAACATTTACACGCACAAAAGTGAGCACAAATGCACGATTATACACGAGATTTTTAACAGATTTAGTTAAACTCCACCTCAACCACGCACATCCAAGTTAATGGGATTCTGCAGTGGTTAATTGATGAACAGGCAAATTATTTTTAGATACTCATGATTAAAATACCAAGGAATAGACTCAAATACTCAATACTGACACCACAATGATAAAAAACCAAACAACAAAACAAAACACTGTATTTAGAATTTCATTTTTCAACATTAAATGATCGAATTTTCGTTTCTACTCCCATGTGTCCTTATGTCTGTGTGATCCCTCAGTGGTCCAGGTCTAAACCAGGTCTAAACCAGGTCTAAACCGGGTCCATGGGCGTATAGGGATGTAACAATAACCAAAATATCGTGATATCGTATGATCAAAGTTCTTACAATCGAACTACAAGTGCTTAAATGAAGAGTTATGGTGCAACAATAGTTAAAAAACAAACAGAAGACAGAGGGAACTACATAGACCATGATCCTTTGCTCCATTTTTAGACCAATTCTCATGATTTAGATACCAAGGAATAGACTCAAATACTCAATACTGATACCACAATGATAATAATAATAATAATAATAAAAAAAACACTATTTAGAATTTCATTTTTCAACATTAAATGGTAGTATTTTCTTTTCTGCTCCCATTGTCCTTATATCTGTGTGATCCCTCAGTGGTCCAGGTCTAAACCAGGTCTAAACCAGGTCTACAAACCAGGTCCATGGGCGTATATTAGAGATGTAACTATAACGGAAATATCATGATATCATACAGTCAGAGTTCTGCTTAAATTAAGAGTTATGATGCAGCAATAGCTTAAAACAGACAGAAGACAGAGGAAACTACATAGACCATGATCCTTTGCTCCATTTCAGTGCAGACGACAAGAAGAAATAACAGTTAGTTATTGGGCTTCTGCAGTGCATAATTGACTATTTTTAGACCAATACTCATGATTTAAATATCAAGGAATAAAAAAAAAAAACCCAAAATAAAACAAAACACTACTTATAATTTCATTTTTTCAACATTAAATGGTAGTATTTTCATTTCTGTTCCCATGTGTCCTTATATTTATGTAATTCCTCAGTGGTCCAGGTAGGTTCCATTGTGGTCCAAGTCTAAACCAGGTCTAAACCAGGACTAAACCAGGTCTAAACCAGGTCTAAACCAGGTCTAAACCAGGTCTAAACCAGGTCTAAATCAGGACTAAACCAGGTCTAAACCAGGTCTAAACCAGGTCCATGGATGTATACTAGTGATGCAACAATAACCAAAATATCGTAGCGTCGAAGTTCTTGCAATCGAATCACAAGTCTCTTTGCTTAAATTAAGAGTTATGGTGCAGCAATAGATAAAAAACAAACAGAAGACAGAGGGAACTACATAGACCATGATCCTTTGCTCCATTTCAGTGCAGACGACAAGAAGAAATAACAGTTCTAATACTTTTAAGACTGAGTTCTTGGGATTCTGCAGTGGTTAGCTGACTATTTTTAGACCAATACTCATGATTTACATTCCAAGAAATAGAACCAAATATTCAGCACTGATAACACAATGATAAAAATCAAACAAAAAAAACAAAACACTGTATTTAGTATTTCATTTTTCAATATTAAATGGTAGTATTTTCTTTTCTACTCTCATGTGTCTTTATATCTGTGTAATCCCTCAGTGGTCCAGGTCTAAACCAGGTCTAAACCAGGTCTAAACCAGGTCTAATAACCAAAATATTGTGATATCGTATCGTCAAAGTTCTCACAATCAAATCACAAGTGTCTTTGCTTGAAGAGTTCTGGTGCAGTAATAGCTAAAAAACAGACAGAGGACAGAGGGAACTACATAGACCATGATCCTTTGCTCCATTTCAGCGCAGACGACAAGAAGAAATAACAGTTCTAACACTTTTAAGTCTTAGTTCTTTGGATTAAGTCTCGTCAAAGCATTATAAGGAGATAAATATCATACCGTGAGATGTATATTGTGGAAATATCACACCGAGAGATTTGTATATTGTTACATCCATAGCGTTTACTCGTCTATGTGCTCTTATACTTGTTCTGATCCAGCTCCAGATCGTTCTAAACACATTCAGGAAAGGCTCATTTGTGTCCAGACTTTTTTGGGGGACTTTTTTCTGGCTCAAATGAGTTTCTAGCTTCGATACTTTTGCAGCCCTAATGTGATTTAGAGAGACAAATGTAGCAGAATTTTGAACCCACTGTTAGAAAAAAACAGAATTACATTATCCAATTAACATTTAGAAATATTTCTTCTTGCTTCTGTCGGAAGGAAATCACCAAAACATGCCTAAAATAATCAATATTTAATCCTAAACAGCTCTAGCTTGGATCACTGATGCTCTATATGATTTACAAATTGCAGGCCTCATAGTATTTTGACTGCTTTGGTCATTTTTTGGTCAAATTTATTTTTATTTTTCATCTCATTCTACTCTCCAGACTCAACTGCATGTGTAGCTGTGATTGTCTTTGTCCTCGGTCAATCAGAACGACTTTTTATAACCAGAAAACGATCACACTAATGGGTTAACAAACTGCGAATTTTCAAAAACACACACACGTTTACATGTTTCTAACCAAAAAAACGCAATCCTGTACGGCGTTACGTGCGTCTCAAACCTCCCAGAATCGGTCCGTGTCTTTCCCAAGTCGATATCTGAACCCACGTTTCAAATTATTCACCGGATCCAGTTTAATCCAGCTATTTCTGCCCCGTTAAGTGTCCGTCGCTGTAGAGCCCCGGACCCCGCCCCCTCCCCGTCCCTGCAGATTCATGTGATTGTGTTGCGTTTGTATTTTGGGGAGATTCTCAGTGGACGAGCCATGAAACGGTCTGAAATGGTGGCGTTAGGGCGGCTTATATACGTCAGTTTTTATCCCAAGAAGCTGCAGGAGATCATATTATTGTTATTGTTTATCTATTAATGCGAGGAACGTTTGTCTGTTTGTTTGTTTTTTGTCTGTTCTACGTGTAATTCTCGAATCGCTCATTCAGCCGAGCTCAAATTCAGAGGGTGTCATCTTAGTGGGACGAGTAGGAAGCATCATTTACTCAAGTTTTTGAAACATTTTTGAGAATCAGTCTCTACCTAGTATCTTTTTTTTTTTTTTACTCTTGTCGAAGTAAAGTTCCATCAGAAATTTCATGAAATTCTCATGATGTTTTCTGGGTCCACCAAGACTCGCAAGTTTAGTGCCTGGAGAAGCCTAAAATCTGAGCTGGAAAATCAGTTCTTCTTTAATAACATCAAACATAATTAACTTAACTCTATAGTATCAATGGAAGTTGAATATAAATATGGACATTGTGGATCATTTGGTATCAGTTTTATGTCTCTATCATCATTAGTTTCTGAGATGTGGCAAAAGTGGGACTCCAAGGATCTTGAATAAGCAAGTAGATCCTGAATTGTAACAAATGTAACCTACAAATTGTAACAAATTGCAACAAACTGTAACAAATTCTAACAAATTGTAAATAAATTGTAACAAATTCTAACAAATTGTAAATAAATTGTAACAAATTGTAACAAATTGTAACAAATTGTAACCTACAACACATTATGCAACTTGAGATTAACACATTTTGAACTCAAAGACCTGAAAATGTGAAAATAAAATCTCTTTACTACAGGTGTTATTATATTTTGACTGTTCGTTATCAGACATGTTCACTGTAAAATACTTGTCATCATCAGTAAGAACCTCCAAAATGGTCATATCTTAGAAAGTTATGAAGATAGAGATATAAAATTGGTACCAAAAGATGCACAGTAGCAACATTTATATTAAACTTTCATTGACACCATGGCCCTAAACGGATTATTTTTAAAGTTATTTGAGAAAAACAGATTTTTGGACACTGTTAGGTTGGAACTTAAGAGACTTTTTGGACCCAGTAGATTTTATTCAGTTGAGCAAATATTCCACAGATTTTCTTTTAATTGGTTTTGTCACATTTTAAATTTGGGCACAAGTTGAATTTCTGACACTGGGGTAAATGATGCAGCCTGGGGACGAGCGTGTGCAGGGACGATTTTCATGTTGTTAGGACAAAAAATGACAAATATCTGGTTATTTTAATTTCAGTCGACACAAAACGGATTTAAGAGGCTAAACATCAGGGAAAACAAAACCTGAACCATTTGCACTTCATTTTTTGAGACGAACCATGGCATAAAAAAACCCTTATAACTTCAAAGTATTTTCAATTTAGAATTTTTTTTCCTGGTTGTTGTTTTGACAATTTGACAAGAGATTTCTGTTTTAATATGATGAATTTTATTTCTGTGTTTTTGAGTAAAATGTGTCAGATTGTACAAGCAGTTGGGTCTTAATGTCAAAATAAGTCTGCTGTGTTTTGTCTTCGTCTAATTTTAAAGTGTTTAATTGGCCGAGAATCAGGAAGTGTGATGTTAGCATGCTAGTGTGGTTCTTAGCTTTACTGTCACATAAAAATTCAGCTCCAAACTCTGAAAAATGTGAAAAGAATTGTGCATTGGAAATTGCGTATTTGAGTTATAATGAATGTGATTCTAGATATATGAGCTCATTTATGAGTACACTTGATCCTGGTTTGGTCCTGGTTTGAGCCCAGTTTAGTCCTGATGCAGTCCTGGTTTAGTCCTGCTCTAGTCCAGGTTAGTTTTGGGTTTAGTTTTAATTGGCAGTGTGAGCAAAACGCAGCTCAGGTTTTCTAAAGGTGCATTCATACTTATTTTTGGTCCTGGTTTGGGACCAGTTTAGTTCTGATGTAGACTTGGTTTAGTCCTGTTCTAGTCCTGGTTTAGTCCTGCTCTAGTCCTGGTGTAGTCTTGGTTTAGTCCTGTTTTAGTCCTGCTCTAGTCCTGGTTTAGTCCTGTTCTTGTCCTGGTTTAATCCTGTTATAGTCCTGGTTTAGTCCTGGTTTAATCCTGTT